CAAGACTTTTGAAGGAATATCTGGGTGACTTAGGAGATCTGATCTTGAAATGACCCTCCTCTCCTTTTCTGGGCAAGGACTACATTTCCCTGGATGGCAATGAGTGTTTTTCAGCTCACAAGCTTGCCCTGTTCTTAAAAAAAATTCACTTGCTGAGCTTTCAGGGCATGTATCATACAGACCAAATGAAAAGATGTGGGTGGTGAGGACAGGAACATCAATCTAGTTTGATACTTTGTTTGTCAAAAGGTGTTTTGTCGCTCAAATTTTTTCTTTGTTTTGATGAACAAATCAGACTTTAGCTTTGCAGTTGCCTGATTTGTTGTTTGTATGATTAAAGACCAAATTGGACTTTAACCTGTCCTATTTCCAGATCAAAGTTGACTGTTGCAGCTCTACACTGTCAACTCAAAAGGGAACAAGAGTGAATTTTCACATAATATTATGCCAAATTTGAGTATGCACTTGAGATACTCCTCACACCATGATATTTATTTCAATAACTGATAGTTCGACTTTGACAATTTGCAGAAACTTTATCATTAATGTTAACTAATGTACATCTTAAAAGTATATCTTGCAAACTCTGCATTTGCCCTGAGCTTGTAGCATTTTGTTACATTCATAAACATCTTGCAGTATGCATCATGGCCAAAATTTGCACCACTCATTATTCAAATTGTTTAAATAATGTAATTGACAACAGTCGTGAAATTTTCCACTTCAAATTAGAATTTGATAATAATGTTACAAAAATAAATTCTTTTAATTCATAATAAACAAAAGCACTCTACTAGAATAAAATAGAATTAACTTACTATAAGCAAATTATCTAGCTATAGAATATATATATATTGGCAAATTATCTAGCTCTAATGTACAAGGGATAGTAAAATCCTTTCTAAATAAGTTACACTTCAGTGTTCTCTAGAAATTTTTTTTTGGCCTTAAGAAATATGCTGGTAAACAAAGAATAAAATTTATATCAGATTGTGAAAGGTATTTTACTACCTTGTAGTAGGCACTTCAGAAACAGGTGGCTGGCAAAAATACCACCTGCTAGAACTTCTGGAGAACACTGATGTTCAAACATAATCTTTGATAATTAACTTTACAAATTAAATGAGGCATTATTAGGCATTTACTAGCAATTAAGAACCAATCTCCATTAATCTATTTAATAATTCCAAATAGTTACTGAATGATTCATTCTTCCACTGTTATTACTAAACAGTGTACCTCAAATCATTTATTCCTCTAACATCATAATTCCATGATCAATAATTTGCTCTACAAGTTCTTCCTGGATTTCAAAAGACAAGTGATACGTAGATGAATTTAGGACATAAAAACTTCATACAAGGAGAAAAAAAAATTTCTTCAAAATGCTGGCATTTCAAAAAACAATAAAACTAAAGCCAAATGTTATGAAAAAAAGACACTGTCAATAAAAATAGTTCCCTTAGCTGTCAGATGCAAAATTTTCTCAAACAAAGAAATAGAGATAGAGATATCTCAGCTCACAAAAAACTGACAAAAACTATTTTTTTAACCAACAGGTTTATTTTCATCTATCTCCATGTCATTGTAAGACAAGATGAAACAACGAGAGCCAACGCAATAATTGTTACTTCTTTCAATGCTTTCTACCCTGCCTACTTGCACATTCTTCTCTTAGTTAAAGAGAAAACGTCTGTTAGCAAGTTATTGGAATGGGCTGAACCCAATAAATATCAATTCAGCTTGAAACACTGAGTTTTGATTTCCTATTCATCTATGCTCTCAATGTCAGGAAAACTAGCTGAGAGGCGATTACTATTACGTTTCGCCATTGTGAGAGGACCAACTTCATCAGTGGGAGTACACGGAGGACTTGTGCTGTTGACCAGACGCCACTGAAGTTCTTCATTTTCTAGAGAAAGTCTCTTGCTTTTGGCTGACTCCCTTTCCAAACTATTTCTTAATGTGTCTCGCTCAACAGAAAGTTGCCTGAAAAAAAATTAACAAACACTTTTAACTAAGCATTCCTCCACAACATCAGCTGCACCAGATCTTAAATCAACTCCATGAAAGAAAACTGATTTTAAATAAAATTGCATTAATAGACAGGGTCCAGTTAATGCCAGTTTTTTTGGTTTGATATGTTCAATATATGCTTGAATCCCATCAAAGCCTGAAAAAATTCAGGCTCGTTCTGCAATTACTACAGTTGCAGTCCACTCGCCAGAATCATTTCTTTGCTTGATTGCAACTTTTTTTCTCTCTCACAATTATTGTCTCATAGAGTTCACCTATAACCCCTAACTATGTGGGCTTCACCCAACTATCCAGGCTCACATCCATGCATAGTTGACCATGGGCCTCTTGGGAGGCAATGGTGGTGTCCCCAAAATATTTCAAGTATTCATGATAACATGTGTGAACTACATTAATGCACAATCAGTAATAGTAGAAGCCCAGCCCCTACGATGGAAAAAATATTGCACACCTCTCAAATCTAGACTTTGTCTCCACCACAAAAGATAATGACTCATTTTCTTGCTGAAGTTTCTTTGTTTTTGCTCTGACATCTTCAAGTTTCTCCAACTGAAAGGCAATTAAAAGCAGC